ATTTATAATGAGGCCCCTGGAATGGTGTAGTTAAATTTTTCACCAGCAGGGCTTAACTGGCCCATGATAACCAGCCAAATCTTGACCTTTTGGTCTTTGGCAAAATTTCTGTAAAAGTTAATCCTTTAACAAAAATCTAATTTCTGTGCTTGTTGTCATAGGAACTGCAGCTGGAGCACGCAAGACAGGCGTTTGCGCAGAAAGACAAGGTCAAGAGCGGCGCTGTTTCTGCCCTGGACTTCAGTGACATCATGTCCACAATCAGACACGTTTGCGCAGAAAGACAAGGTCAAGAGCGGCGCTGTTTCTGCCCTGGACTTCAGTGACATCATGTCCACCATCAGACACCACATGCTCACACCTTTCGTGGAAGAAAACCTTGTGTCTGTAAGTGTGCAGCTCTCTTTTCCATCTAGTAAGATGTTTGTTGCAATGTTGTTGTAAAAGGTTTAAATGTTTGTGTCCTCTTAGGCAGCAGGAGGTGGCACCTCTCACATGGTGAGCTTCTCCTACTTCAATGCCTTCAACTCTCTCCTGAACAACATGGAACTGATCCGTAAAATCTACAGCACTCTCGCAGGGTCTCGCAAGGATACGCTTGTCACGAAAGGTGCGTGCCGTCTGTCATATCCATTTCTGTTCATCTGCACATAAGAATAAAGTTTTTAACTATTATCTAACATTTTCTTCATCTGTAGAGGAGTTTGTTCATTCTGCAAATAAATTTGGTCAGATTACCCCTATGGAAATCGACATCCTGTTCCAGCTAGCAGGGCTGCACTCCCAAACAGGGTACTTTCCTTTTAAAAAAACAAGTTTATCCACACATTCTATAAGCAGCATTATCAGCTGATCATGTGTTTGTGTATGTTATGATGTGTAGACGATTAAACCTGGCTGATATCGAGAGAATAGCACCACTGGAGGAAGGAGCCCTGCCATATAATCTAGCTGAGGTGCAGAGACAGGTGAGCTTATCTCTATGAACAGTCAGATAAGAGCCTATTAGGAATTGTTTTAATGTGTCTATTACTTGTCATGTTATCAGTGAGCTTTACTTATCTAGCAGCACTAATTATGGCACAAAACACACTTTCACTACTAGGGATTTGATACCACTCTCACTTTCACAAAAATCAGGTTTAAAATGAATATTCAGGCTTCTGTCATACATCTCAAATACAGATCGGCCCAAAACTATTGTGCATTTAGTTTGGTGCCTCACATGCTTATTTCTTGCTCTCTTTCTGTCATTGCAGCATTCACATGCGGATGTTTCTCGGCCTGTGTGGCTGCAGGCAGCAGAGTCGGCATACAGATTTACTCTGGGCTCCATTGCTGGAGGTTTGAGTTTATGGAGTTCTGCTCATTTCTCATATTTAAAGACCCCACAAAATGAGTACAGTTTTCCATTCTGCGTTATGTAATTCCTTATGACAAAGGAAGTTGATAAGAGGATATGTCAAGGGGTCATTCCCTCTTTTAATTTACATCAAAGCCATAAACCATGATTTGTTCAGGTGGTATTAGGAGGAGGGTCATTACCTTTTGGTTAATTTTCCAAGAAGTCTTAAACAGTAAATTTTAAATGTGCATTTTAAGTTAATTATGACTGACTTCAATGCTAAGAGAAACTGACTAAAAACCACTGAAATCCAAGGGTCTTTAAATGAGTCACAGTATTTAATAGAATGCTATCTTAATTTTTTAGGGTCAGTAAGATTTTATACTTTCATTTAGCAAGGACACATTAAATTGCTCAAAAGTGACAGTAAAGACATTTACAAAATTACAACAGATCTCTGTTTCAAATAAACAATTGTTTTGAACTTCATAGTAAAAAAATTACAGTTGCACAAAGATATTAAGCAGCAACTGTTTTCAACATTGATGTTAAGAAATGTTTCTCGAGCAGCAGATCAGCATATTAGAATGATTTCT